CTCCTCCTCCTCCTCCTCTTCCTCTTCCTCTTCGATCGATCAAAGATCTTACACTTTCAATAGTTCTTACTTTTTTCCCGTATTTATTCATACTTGTTTTATCATTTTTTTAACTGATTTCTTTTATTAATTTTGTTTTATTTTGTTTTTGGTTGTTGTTCTTGTTTTTTTTGTTGTAAAGGATAACAAATCTTCAGTCGTTTGTGTTTTTGGTTTTTTTTAACCTCCCCCGACTTTAAACGAAAAGTGAGCGCCAAAGTAAACTGCCAAAGTCTCCTAGTGGCGCAGCGATTACGTCCCCTGTATGCCTTGAGCAGACGGTGTGCGACAATTTCACATCGATTGCAAATAAAACGTGCGCCCGCTCTACTATTTTCAGATCAGAGAAAATCATACCCTACCCATCACCCCCCACACCTCTAGTATGGTTACTAAGCTTTTCATTTTTCGACTCAACTCCTCTCCTTCATGCTTGATGACAGGGAGCGCCATATTTGTTATGATTGTTGCTTCCAATCTCCGGAGGTGAAAGGTCACCGAGGTCTCAGACACAAGATGTAAAAATAACCCAAAACAAAACAGGAGGGGAAAACGGGGTGGGGCTGACTGCGGTAGACACTTGTAGAAAATGATTTAATAGCTCTGCAGTCGCTGCAAGAATTCCTAAAGGATACGTGTTCTTCCAGAAAGCGATGCTCCAAGCGGAGAATGCCACGACACGGAAGACGATTGGTCGAGAGATCCAGCCCCGCGCGTCAGTACTTTGCAAAGATGACGTGTGCTGTTAAATCGAACGCTATGATTTAGTTTGATATTATTGTCAGCCGCAGCACTTTAAAAGCTTAAATTGAAGGTAGAAGGGGCAAATCGTAATAAAATTGAGTGGGGTGATTGAGATGTAAAAAGTTAAAAGCCACTTACTCCCAGATGTGGAAATGGATCAAGCTGTCTGTAAAGCGACGTGTCCTTTCTCGTGTTTTCATGACTTTAGATAAATCTAATGCATATCATTATTCCGGGGTAAAATGAAAAGTCAAACCTGGGTTTCACGGAGTGGATTGTGACACAGCTGATAGAACCTATTATTTTTAATTCTGTGGCAATTCATGATTTCTAGAATTTGCTTCTACACGTATGCATTAAGACTTTGACCCAACGGTACTGGTGCTTTCACGGTTATTTATCTTTCGCAAGGGTGTATGTTTTTCCCCTCTCTTTCCAACTTGTTTATTTGAAGTTGATAAATCTACGCAACGAACAAGCAAACATGAAGAGTAATAAAATATGCCCTTGAACTTGAAAGCAAATACATGGGCCAAAATGTTTTGTTTTGCCTTCTTTTTAATTTTCTGAATAACGAAATTAGTACCTAACATTAAATCAGGTGTTTTAATATGCAGGCTCCAGACGGAAGTTCAAGTATACACTGTCTTGTCTTCCAACTTAATAAATATGAAAATAAACAAACAAACCGTTAGATTTAAAACAACCACATGTACACCC